TGAGAACAGTGAGGATGAACTCGGGGAACGACGTAGAGGAGGGTACGAAGAGCCGGAACCAAGAACGTATGGTAATCGACCGCGTAGGCTAAGACAGGATCGCAGAGCAGCCAGGGGAGGGGAAACACACAAGTGCCCGGTTTGTGGGGAGGAGTTCGGCAAGGCTAATCAACTCGCTTTTCACTATGAGGCGGAACATTCGATTTGTGATCCCAAACTCAGTACGGTGCAGTCGTTTCAGTGTACGGCTTGTCGGCAAACCTTTCGTCGCGCACAGCAAAGGAAGGATCATGACTGTCCTGCCAAGAAACAGTTACATAGGCTCACATGCATAGATCCGGAGGAGCAGGTTGGAGGACAGGATCGAGGAACTCAACTACCGTATCCACCAGTTTGGTATCTGTGCACGGATGGGTCTGGGGGCAGCGGTGGCTCAGCAGCCGGGCCGCAAATGGCCGGGTGGGGTGTAGTGGTGTATGGGGTCAAGGATCCGAGCCCGGATCTTCCATGGTTGGCGGCGTTATATGGACCGGTTTGTACGGCGGAGTATGACCCAGTATGGATGGGCGCGCGAAAGGGGACCAACAACACAGCGGAGTTATCTGCCATCGGGGAGGCGTGTAAGTGGCTTTTAGAGTTGCACGAGCGACTTCCTGCGGAGGTCCCCAGGAGGGCCATGGTACTGTATGACTCCGAGTACGCCTACGGGATAGCGACAAGGTTGACCCAAGACAGGGAAAATGGTTTGTTGGGGGATATGGTCGCCATGTTAGTAAGTCGTGTTCGCAGAGCATTTGATCTATCCTTTCAGCATGTATACGGACATACGGGAGTGCATGGAAATGAAATCGCAGACAGGTTGGCTGATAGGGGGGCGTCGGGAAGGGTATCACCGCATGCAGTCTCTTGGAATACGAGACCTGAGGGACCCATGGGAGCAGAACCGGCACCGCCCCCCCCACCAAACCGCCGTCCCGCTCGGGCCAGGGCAGTGCGACGCAGACCGGCAGCTGCAGAGGGACCACGTCTGGGGCGACACCTATTGGTCACCTGCCCAACCTGCCAGGTCCAGTTCAGGAATTGCGATCTACCCCAACATCAACCGGACTGCCGGGGACCAGGGGACGCCAATCGTACGTGTAAATACTGTGGGGTTGTCCTGGGGTCCGTTGGAGCTAGAAAGAATCATGAACGGTACACGCACGCATCCGAAGCACTAAGGGATGGGCATATCGGGAAGCTTTCAAAAAAGCGTTCGGGCGCGTAGTACTACTGACGCAGGACAGGTTTGTTGAGCAAGGTGCGCGGGGAACGGGGGGCACTATGGGGGGGGTAACTTGGTTACGCCTGTCCCTGGTCTTCAGAGTTGGATCACTTGCCGCTGTCATTTCAGCTCGAACTTCTAGTTCTTCGTCGCTGCCCATGTGGTGGAACAGGTCACTCGTAGTGCTTGTCCTAACGGTGGGATGGCTCAAAACGCGGAACGCAAACGCAAGATGGGGGAACTTGAGGCTAAGGTCGACGAACTCGTCGGGACAGTTGAGGAGCATGGACAGCGGTTGGAGCGGTGTGAACTCCGACTTGAGGACATACAATCCTACCGCTTCCTGCGGGTGGAGCATTCGACGTCACTGGACAAGCTATGGCAGGATGTGGAATCCGGGGAAGTGCTTAAGCCTGCTATCCGCGGTACTGCTGCACAGGTGCTTTACAAGGAGCTTTGTGAAGTGGTGGGTGCTATGCAGGACGAGGACGGGCTCAAGGCAAAGGCGGCGGAACTGTCTGGGGATAAGCGACCTCTGCCGGAAGCAGCCTCGAGACGCGAGGCTGCGGAAGGATGCATTTTGGAGAACCTTGTGGAGTGGGTCTCGAGGGACTCCAAGGGGGTTAACAACATACGGTTGTTGCCGGGGGAACCCTCTCGTTTGGTATCTGAGCGGATCAAGCGGACGCTCAATTGGGCTCTGTACGTGTCGGCTAAGATGCCAAATGCCTCGAGTACCCTTCAGATCTACATGGACAGAGGACCTCGTACACGAGCCAAAGGAAAAGGAGATGGCAAAGGCAAGGGGAAGGGAGGAAAGCAGGGAGGAAAAAGCAAAGGAAAGGGCAAGCAGGGGGGACGCAAGTGATCCGGATGATCACGAGGCCAGGCGGTAACGAACACGGATAATCTTTGAGCAAGGGTAGAAGACTGTATTCTATGTTTTTTCCTTTTGGATTCGGACAGTATGGGATGATAACCACGTATTCTTTTTGGTACACTCGTCAAGTCGTCGGGGCGAGGCCCTCCTATAGGGAGGCCTCTGGGACGGGCTGGTCCTATCGGGACCTCCCAAGGAGACGACTGGTAGGGGGAGTTTTTTGGATTCTCTGATGACAGTATAGTCTGGTGGTTCTTTCTGCAGAATTCTAGTAAGGGAGGGATGATGACGCTTGTTATGTAAGGGAGTGGTGGCGGGGAGTATTGTATGTAAGGGGGGGTATTGTAGGAGTCCTGCCATGCGGTAACAGACCTCCAGACCACACCAAATGCGCAATACTCTAGACGTCTAGCCGCGGTTTTTTACACGAGTAGAGCCCTGTCTCAGTGATGTTGCTTGTACGGTGTAGGTGTAATACACCCCCGTCCCGAACCGACGCGCCCTGGTCATGCAGGTTGGAACACAGGATGGTCACAGCGGCGAGGCTACCTCCGTCGCTCACTTCTTCTTCTTCTTCTTCAAGAGCTGGATGCTGGATGGCGTGCCACCGATTGGCTACGTCCTCCTCGTGGGCGGCGCGCGGACACTCGTGCCAGACCGCATTTATAACAGTGAGAAATAAAACAAGGGTTACACGGTGGATCCTTGCGGTTTTCATGCCAGTCATGTCTTGTCATGCTTGCTGTGCGTTGACATATCATGAACCTTCACGCCTTGCGCTGCGTTGGTCTACGGACGCTTCCGGGAGGGAGGAAACGAGAAACCAACACTATCTACACTGGGACACGGCAACATTTTCGCATGCGGCACGTGCCAACCCATCCCTGCCTAGTTTTGGTAGGAGTTCCCCCGGGTTAGCGGGCCCTTTATGCACCTCGTGCTTTCAACTCTGGTGGAGGGGGACGGGATTGCCAATCATCTCCTATGCCGTCTCGGCCCAAATCCTTTGGGGCCGTTGGGCTGGATGCCATTATGGCGTCCGGCTCTCCCCGTTGGGACGACTAAGCTTTCGCTCTCGGACAGGGGTCTTACCACGGCTTGGCGTCGAGGCGGTCGGGGCAACCCGTGTGGTCGGCGGTTTGCCACCGGTGGTGCGTTTACGGGGTCTTGCCCGGGGGTCTTGACCCTACGGTGTTCGGCACGGGTCACGGTGTCTGTCAGACGGGGCTCTACACTGCGGACTAGGGGGATATTCACAAGCACGTCACGAACGGCAGTAGGTATTCCTTTAGAGTACGCGTAACTATACGCGAACCGAAATACCAGACACACTCGTAGATCTCGGTTACTATAGATCATCGGATCCTTGCAACACGTGGTTATGCCCAGACTTCGTAACTTGCGTGATAGGCTGCAGGCCTCGCTTCGGGCACTGCCCAACACCACCAGTCGGGAGGACAGACATCGTAGGCGGCAGCTACACAGGCGCTTGTCGCAAGTACAGCGCCGTCTATCCCGTATGAGGTCTATCCGTACACGCGCGGTCGTACAGAAGTTGAAGCGCCGACGTTTAGAAGCAAAACAACTACGAGCACACATGCACATAGCTACATGGAACACCAGGGGGTTGGGAGCTGAGGCTGGGGATATTGATCAGGAGCTGAAAATGACAGCTATATTGGAAAGGATGAGGATACAAAAGTGGGACGTGGTGGGCCTCACGGACCTTAAGTACAGACAGGATGGAGTTCGTAGGTTCAGGCATGCAGGTCAGGACAGGTTCTTAGTGGTTGCGGGTCGGGTTGGATTCCTGATGTCGGAGGCGTGGCATGCCTACTGTATGCTCGTTCGGTTCGGGTTGCGGCCATACAAATGCCTAGGGATGGCTGGAGAAGAGGAGTATTTATATGCTGCGCGTACGCACCCACCAGCGCTTCGGGCAAGGCTGCCCGCCAAGCTGTGCGTCAAGAAGTAGACATAGCAATGGGGTTGGCTACTGCTACAAGCATGCGCCTGGTTTTGGGTGACTTAAATGCGGAGTTAGGCAACAACCGGGACGTGGGGCACCCTAATCACGAAGTAGTGGGGAGTTTTTCGGCGGCCAAGATCACAACGGCAGGAGAAGAGTGGAGAGCGCGGTGTGGCAGGCGAGGATATAGGGAGGCATCCAGTAGATACCAGATGCGGCATCGATGGACATGGCGTCATCCTCGTTTCAAGTCGTTGCATGAGTTAGATCATGTTTTAATTCATGAGACTGATCTATGGCATCTTCAGGCGGCCAGAGTTCTTATTGAGGGTCCCAGCGTCGTGGCTCCATGGTCGGAGTATACGGACCACAACCCAGTCTCGGTTAAACTAAGGGTGGGTAGGCGGTGGGATGCCCCTTTCAAAGGAATCAAACAGGCTCCAAAGCCACACATCGAGCGCATGGCGGGTACGACTACCTCTGCGGAAGAGCTTAGGAAGAAGTGGACCCTCGAGGTGGAGGCTAGGCTGCGTAGCTGTAGATCCGACATGGAAAACGCGAACATGGAGGATCAATGGGAGCGTATGTGTAAAATATGTAGGGACGTCTCTTTTGAGGTCTGCGGCGTTCTAAAGAGTCACAAAGGCGCGCCTTGGCTTCGGGACAAAGGGGGGGACATTGAACGGCTAGATCAAGCAATATTGCAGGCAAAGGAGCAGGACAGGGAAGCCAGAGGGTCCGGGGACGCTGGGGCTATGGCAAGGGCTAGGCGGGATTTACAGCAGTCCAGGCAGACGAAACGCAGAACGTTGAGCAAATGGGAAGTAGACTGGTTACGGGCTAAGGCTGATGAGGCGAACGCACTGGTAGACAAACCCAATGCATCCATGGTGTTTAGCGTAGTCAAGGAGCTTACGCAAGGGGCGACACGTAAGAAGACCGATGGAGGGACACGGCATGTCATGAATCAACAGGAGGTTGAGGAATGGAAGGAACATTTTCAGGCGATCCAAACGGGCAGAGGGGAGGTCTCGGAAAATGTCTGGGAGGATATGGAATCGCGGGATGTTTGTATGGAGTTAGATGACCCCCCCACGCAAGAGGAAGTTCGCCGAGCGGTAAATGCCATGAAGCGAGGCAAAGCCGGAGGGGAAGACTCCATGGTGGCAGAATACCTAAAGCTGGGAGGGGCGGAAATGCAACGAGTTCTGTACAGGGTTGTCAAGCGTTGTTGGGAGGAGGCAACTCGCGCCCCGGACGGTTCGGAACACGAGTCATGGCCCAAGTCCTGGAAAATAGGTATTATCATACCGTTGTGGAAAAAGAAAGGGGACCGCAAGAACAAGAATACATGGCGGGGTATCACGCTATTGTCGGTGGGTTCCAAGCTTGTGGCGCGTATATGTGCTATGAGAACACAGCGATGGTGCCAGCTATGGCTTAACCCCTTACAGTTCGGGTTCCGGTCGGGTTCAGGAGTGGACGACGTACAACAGCTTTCAAGAAGGTTGTTGGAGGAATCCGCCCAGTCCGCACATTCGAAAACTATCCTGCTCCGATTTTTTGATTTGGAAAAAGCTTATCCAAAAGTGGCTAGACAGGCTTTATGGCGCACGTTGGAAAGGAAAGGATGTCCTCGTGGGTTTCTCAAAGTCCTTAAGGCCATTCATGAAGGTACGGCAAGCAAGGTCAAACTACAAGGTATGACGTCTGCAAGTTTTGTTCCTGATAGAGGTCTCCGTGAAGGCTGTCCGTCTTCACCCATCCTCTTTAATGTCTATCATCACGGTTTTATGGAGGTTTTCAGGGCCCGACGGGCAAGAGCGGCATCACATGCGGGACAACAACCTGGTGTGACGTGGACTTTTAAAGTGGATGGAAAAGTAGCCAAAAGGAAAGGAGATAGGGAGGATGAGGGTAGGCATACGAGAAGACGCGTTATCGGGGATTTCGCATATGCTGATGATACGGGCATTATCGGGGAAGCGGAAGAGGCGCGAAGGGCGGAAGGAATCTTCACCGAAACAATCACGTCTTTTGCAGGTATAGTCAACACAGGTAAAACGGAAGGATTGAGAGTCGAATCTGAAGCCCGTCCCTCCACGGATGTCCAGTGGATAGGAGAAAGCAAGTCAGTTAAACACGTGGGAGCAATGCTGTCGGAGAGGGCGGGGCACACGGCGGAATCAGAAAGAGCAGCACGCAAATGCATACAGAAAATTGAAGAAATCTCGTCAGCCTGGACCAAGGGCAAAGCTGCGAAACGTCGCAAACACGATCTCAAGAAGAGTGTTCGCGTCAAGATCCTCAAAGCGGCGGTCAAAGGGACTCTTTTAACTTTCAGCAGAACTAGAGCATGGCAAACCAGTCAGGTTCACAGGATGCAGAACATTGTGAATTTTTCCATTCGTAGGATTTTCAATGCCAAGATTCAGGATTTGCGACGACAGGGCTTAACCAATGCGGTGCTAAGACGTATGGTACAGTGGGAAACTTTTGATTCTGCGGTACGTCGGGCCTCTCTCCTATGGTTGAGACATGTAGCGCGCATGACAACAGAACAACCACAAAAGCAGATTTTGTTCGGTTGGTTGGAGGGTTCCAAGGCGAAGCAGCGATGTCCGTTCAAACAGGCTCAATGGATCAACTCATGCCTTCGGGTCGCCGACATCTCGGAAATGGACTGGTTCCGCCTGGCTCAGGATCGCGGTCACTGGCGAAAAATCGTATATAAGGCGTTTCCGGTCGAGAAAGTGATACGGGGTAGGGAGCAGGAGCTAGATGCTTGGAGACTGGGGGACCCCATTCCGGAGTGGGCTCGTGAAGTGGCCGATGATCCGACGGAACAACAGTTTGAGAACAGTGAGGATGAACTCGGGGAACGACGTAGAGGAGGGTACGAAGAGCCGGAACCAAGAACGTATGGTAATCGACCGCGTAGGCTAAGACAGGATCGCCGTGCAGCCAGGGGAGGGGAAACACATAAGTGCCCGGTTTGTGGGGAGGAGTTCGGCAAGGCTAATCAACTCGCTTTTCACTATGAGGCGGAACATTCGATTTGTGATCCCAAACTCAGTACGGTGCAGTCGTTTCAGTGTACGGCTTGTCGGCAAACCTTTCGTCGCGCACAGCAAAGGAAGGATCATGACTGTCCTGCCAAGAAACAGTTACATAGGCTCACATGCATAGATCCGGAGGAGCAGGTTGGAGGACAGGATCGAGGAACTCAACTACCGTATCCACCAGTTTGGTATCTGTACACGGATGGGTCTGGGGGCAGCGGTGGCTCAGCAGCCGGGCCGCAAATGGCCGGGTGGGGTGTAGTGGTGTATGGGGTCAAGGATCCGAGCCCGGATCTTCCATGGTTGGCGGCGTTATATGGACCGGTTTGTACGGCGGAGTATGACCCAGTATGGATGGGCGCGCGAAAGGGGACCAACAACACAGCGGAGTTATCTGCCATCGGGGAGGCGTGTAAGTGGCTTTTAGAGTTGCACGAGCGACTTCCTGCGGAGGTCCCCAGGAGGGCCATGGTACTGTATGACTCCGAGTACGCCTACGGGATAGCGACAAGGTTGACCCAAGACAGGGAAAATGGTTTGTTGGGGGATATGGTCGCCATGTTAGTAAGTCGTGTTCGCAGAGCATTTGATCTATCCTTTCAGCATGTATACGGACATACGGGAGTGCATGGAAATGAAATCGCAGACAGGTTGGCTGATAGGGGGGCGTCGGGAAGGGTATCACCGCATGCAGTCTCTTGGAATACGAGACCTGAGGGACCCATGGGAGCAGAACCGGCACCGCCCCCCCCACCAAACCGCCGTCCCGCTCGGGCCAGGGCAGTGCGACGCAGACCGGCAGCTGCAGAGGGACCACGTCTGGGGCGACACCTATTGGTCACCTGCCCAACCTGCCAGGTCCAGTTCAGGAATTGCGATCTACCCCAACATCAACCGGACTGCCGGGGACCAGGGGACGCCAATCGTACGTGTAAATACTGTGGGGTTGTCCTGGGGTCCGTTGGAGCTAGAAAGAATCATGAACGGTACACGCACGCATCCGAAGCACTAAGGGATGGGCATATCGAAAAAAAAAAAAAAAAGCGTTCGGGCGCGTAGTACTACTGACGCAGGACAGGTTTGTTGAGCAAGGTGCGCGGGGAACGGGGGGCACTATGGGGGGGGTAACTTGGTTACGCCTGTCCCTGGTCTTCAGAGTTGGATCACTTGCCGCTGTCATTTCAGCTCGAACTTCTAGTTCTTCGTCGCTGCCCATGTGGTGGAACAGGTCACTCGTAGTGCTTGTCCTAACGGTGGGATGGCTCAAAACGCGGAACGCAAACGCAAGATGGGGGAACTTGAGGCTAAGGTCGACGAACTCGTCGGGACAGTTGAGGAGCATGGACAGCGGTTGGAGCGGTGTGAACTCCGACTTGAGGACATACAATCCTACCGCTTCCTGCGGGTGGAGCATTCGACGTCACTGGACAAGCTATGGCAGGATGTGGAATCCGGGGAAGTGCTTAAGCCTGCTATCCGCGGTACTGCTGCACAGGTGCTTTACAAGGAGCTTTGTGAAGTGGTGGGTGCTATGCAGGACGAGGACGGGCTCAAGGCAAAGGCGGCGGAACTGTCCGGGGATAAGCGACCTCTGCCGGAAGCAGCCTCGAGACGCGAGGCTGCTGAAGGATGCATTTTGGAGAACCTTGTGGAGTGGGTCTCGAGGGACTCCAAGGGGGTTAACAACATACGGTTGTTGCCGGGGGAACCCTCTCGTTTGGTATCTGAGCGGATCAAGCGGACGCTCAATTGGGCTCTGTACGTGTCGGCTAAGATGCCAAATGCCTCGAGTACCCTTCAGATCTACATGGACAGAGGACCTCGTACACGAGCCAAAGGAAAAGGAGATGGCAAAGGCAAGGGGAAGGGAGGAAAGCAGGGAGGAAAAAGCAAAGGAAAGGGCAAGCAGGGGGGACGCAAGTGATCCGGATGATCACGAGGCCAGGCGGTAACGAACACGGATAATCTTGGAGCAAGGGTAGCAGACTGTATTCTATGTTTTTTCCTTTTGGATTCGGACAGTATGGGATGATAACCACGTATTCTTTTTGGTACACTAGTCAAGTCGTCGGGGCGAGGCCCTCCTATAGGGAGGCCTCTGGGACGGGCTGGTCCTATCGGGACCTCCCAAGGAGACGACTGGTAGGGGGAGTTTTTTGGATTTTCTGATGACAGTATAGTCTGGTGGTTCTTTCTGCAGAATTCTAGTAAGGGAGGGATGATGACGCTTTGTTATGTAAGGGAGTGGTGGCGGGGAGTATTGTATGTAAGGGGGGGTATTGTAGGAGTCCTGCCATGCGGTAACAGACCTCCAGACCACACCAAATGCGCAATACTCTAGACGTCTAGCCGCGGTTTTTTACACGAGTAGAGCCCTGTCTCAGTGATGTTGCTTGTACGGTGTAGGTGTCATACACCCCCGTCCCGAACCGACGCGCCCTGGTCATGCAGGTTGGAACACAGGATGGTCACAGCGGCGAGGCTACCTCCGTCGCTCACTTCTTCTTCAAGAGCTGGATGGATCCTTGCAGATGGGTGGGAATTTTCCCTTGCCGATCAAAAAACCTCTAGAATACTATGTCACAGCCTTCGGTGAGGTCCGCCTGCAATTCCGCGTGAGAGGCGGGCAAGGATTCAAACAGTGCAAGTGTGAATGGAAATACGTCGGTCATGGAATGAATCGGGACTCAATGATTGCGAAGATCCCACAGCCGTGGGTCATCGACATTCTGAAGCTTCTGCGCGACCTCAGGATTCCTCGGTCTGAAAGGCAGAGTGCCGAAGTCCTCAAAGCCTCGGAAGTCGCAGCAGATGCCCTGAAACTGGTGGATTCTATTCCTGAAGATGCTCTGGACTTCGATCATCCGACAGATCAGGTGCACCTCTGTGTCAAGCTGCACAGGAAACTCGCAAAGGATGAAAAAGAGTGTGGAAACCAATATGACTGGCATTTTCTGAAATCTCGAACGTTCACAACCCACTGGCAATCGTTTCCTGTCCCGCTCGCTTTCGACTTGAAAACCTTGGTCACCCATGCCTCGGGCGTAGTGGCACCGCGGATGAGAAAATCGGTGCTCGTCACAGAAGCCAAAGGCGATGGGACGACTGTGGGAGCCTTCCTCAACCAGAGGTTTTCCGACCCAATCAAGTTCCCAGAGAAAGAGACCATGCTGGTCCTCTTCAAGCTGTTCAAGTTTGTCTTGAAGCTACAAATGCATACCCTTAGGCAGGAAGGGTGTCTTCTGGGGGACCTCCACGAGGATAACATTACTGTCATGGGAGGCAGAGTGCCGGACCGCAAAGGCAGAGTGCCAGTGGGGGCGGAGAATTTGACGTTTGCCTTGGTGGACTGCTCCGGTTGCCTACCAGTTATGGCTGTTCCCGCAAAAAGGATGAAGGGTCACCTCAACTGCTTTCTGAGCTTGTGGGCCATTCCCTCAAACCACAGCGCCACCGTCTCCGAGTACGCGTCAGAGGTCTGGAAGAAGATGCTTGCCGCTGGCGAAAAATTCAAATCTGACTATGGACCGAATAAGTGGAGAACTGGTGAAATGGTGGCCGATCTGTACAAGTTGTGCAAGAATCTGGAAGCAAAGTTCCAGCAGGGTCTGGACTTGATGCAACAATGCCAGCAAATGAGGGTCGAGGCAACAAGGGCAGTAATGAGCAGAATTCAGCCGCAGGCACGTGCGCCGCCGAATCCTCCGCCACCTCAGTGTTGGGATTCGACACCTCCCTGGGATCCCCCTGGATCTGCGACTGCAAAAGCCAAAGGGATGAAAGGAGGAGTGCCAGTAGAAGGCAGAGTGCCAGGCAAAGGCGAAGCAATACATCATCCTGAAGGGCCTCCTCCCAGGGGGGCCCGCCCGCCTTTGCATCAACCGCCTCAGCAAAAGGCGAGGCCTCCTGCTCCGTGGCAGGTGCCAGCAAGACCGCTGCGAAATGCTGGGCCTCTGCCTGATCACCCTTGGCAGCAGGAGTGGGAACCACTACCAAGGGCGGCGGTGCAACCAGATCATCCTGGGGGCCGGTGCAACCAGATCATCCTCCTCCTGGCAGGGGGCCGGTGCAACCAGCTCATCCTCCTCCTGGCCACCAGCAGCAGCAACATCGCTGGGGCAGAACGGCCAGAATGCCCGTCATCCAGGACGAATACGATGCCTGGCATGACGATGAGCCGAATCCCGAGCCGAATTCCCGGCCAAGAGTGCCAGAGCCGATGGGTCCCCCGCCGGCAAAGCAAGGCAGAGTGCCAGAGCCGATGGGTCCCCCGCCGGCAAAGCAAGGCAGAGTGCCAGATCCCGAGCCGAATCCCCCGCCAAGAGTGCCAGAGCCGATGGGTCCCCCGCCCGCAAAGCAAGGCAGAGTGCCAGATCCCCAGCCGAATCCCGTGCTAAAAGTGCCAGAGCCGATGGGTCCCCCGCCGGCAGAGCAAGGCAGAGTGCCAGAGCCGATGGGTCCCCCGCCGGCAAAGCAGCCTCCTGCCAAAAGGAAATTCGGCGACGGACAGCCTGTGCCTGTTGGTTCCAAGCCACAGTTTATGTCGGCAAGTGCTCCTGCTGAAATGACGGAAAAGCAAAGGATGGACGAGCAGGATTTCGCCAAGGAACTTGCCGAGTATGCTGACGATACGGCAAGAGGCTCCAATTTCGTTCCGCAGGGCCGACGCGCTGAGCCGGCCTGGGTGGCAAAGGCCCAGGGCTTGAAAAGCAAGGGCGACGCCGTCCCGATCGGGAAAGCAGCTTACTTCGCCCAAAAGGGCAAGCCTGCCGGAAAGGGCCACAAAGGCAGAGTGCCAGTGGAGGACAATATCCCTACTCACCTTGTTGGAAAGGGCCGTCCAGCCCTAGTGCCACTTGTTGGAAAGGGCCGTCCCAATATCCCTACTCACCTTGTTGGAAAGGGCCGTCCAGGCGAAGCTCATCCTGCTTTTTTGCGGCATATGAAGACGGAGAAGGGAGGAATATGGTTGGACCCCAAGGAGGAGGTGGAAGCCGAGGAGGAGGACACTTTGGTTGATGTTGTGGTGGAAGAGGAGGAGCCTGTGCAAGATCCGTCGGACGATGAAATGGAATTTGTCGAGGTTATGGTGCAGGATGAGCAACCGCCGCTTGAGATGGAGGCGGAGCCCGAGGAGGATGAGCATGCGTTCGCCACGGCTGCCTCGATTCACCCGGATCGCTTGGACGAGGATGAGGGGGACAGCCAAGCAACAATGGTACTAGGGGACCATCTCCGAGAGGAGCAAGATGAGCCGATGCCTTCTGTACCGGAGACCCGGGTGACTGAGAGCGAGCACGATGCCGTCGTCGCCAAGGTCATGAACGAGCTGGAGGCTATGAATGTGGACCCGAGCCCGAAGGCTGCCGCAAACCCGAAGAGTGCGACTGCGCCAGTGCCTGGAGAGGTGAAGCCTTTCTTGGAAGCGGAGGAGGACCTCGGAATTACGGACCCCCACGGCAGAGTGCCAAGGGGTCAAAACAAGATCAAGGTTCCAGCCGAGCTTTTGCAGCCAGAGACTGAGGAGGAGAAAACTCTCAGAGCGTTGCGGGGAATGCTGCCATGCAGTCACAGGGAGGTGACGACTTCGAAGGTGGGCCGCCTCGCCAATCGGGCACGTATGTCGAGACCGGTGCCACAAGATCAGCCGCTGTCCATGAGATCACAGTCCGAGAATGCGAGAAGAATTCCTTGCCAATGGAGAAGAAGGAAATGGTGTGGAATGACTTTCGGTCGAAGGGCTCGAAAACTGTGGTTGTCTGGGAGCTGTTGTGTGACAAGGGCATGAAGGAGATTCCAGACAACTCTGAGCCTGGGGACTGGCACCTGTGGCTTCAGAGGGAAACTGGGGTGGCGGTCATTGAGCAGATTCTCCAGTGCATGTTCAATGTCACTCCGCCAGTTCATGGCCGTGATCGAGTCAAGGGAAAACAGCTGACATACTGGCACTGGTGGGAGGCCTCCAAGAGACTCCTTGAGGTTTATACGACGGAAGATGTCATCTCAAAGGAAAAATTCAAGCCCAAAGACCTGCAGAGCTGGATTGTGCCTTTGTCCTGCAAGATTTGGGATGCTTACAATTACACCATGCTTGTGTATTGTCAGAAGAAGCTGGAACAGAAGGCAAGGGGGGAAGACCTAGATGCGGTGAGCCAGATGGGTGATGATGTCCCGCCATCGGAAGATGAAGAGTATGTGGATGTTTACCAGACCACTGCGAACTTCGTTCCTGATTGGGGAGTAACTGCAGATGGCTTTCAGGATTGATCTGTGTCAATGATTGAGCTGAACGAGTAGGTTTATTAATTGTGTTGCCAAAACAAAGCCATCTAGTGGACCTCCTCTTCTTCATACCATTCGTCCTTGGGCACTGGGGACTTTCACAAGGCAGAGTGCCAGAGAGTTCTCGGTGTGACTAAGGCAGAGTGCCACCAAACAGTGTGGCCTGTTCAGATTCTTTTTTGTGTCGCTGTCACTAGGCAGAGTGCCGGAAAGGCAGAGTGCCAATGTGAAATCGCATTGCTTGGGGCGTTTGAATGTTGTCACTTTTGCAGTCCGTCTGATCTGGCACATTTCAGCTTGCCGTTTTGGAAAACAAAGACGATGCCTATGCATACAGTCATGTCGGCAGTAACTAGATGGATTAATTACTGTGCCTGTGAATTGATTGGTTCAACCTTGGTTTCCTGTGACAGCCCCATAAAACCTTTCAGGTGCTGGCGTCCAAGGTGGTTGGCTACTATGGCAAGGCTGGAATGCATGATGCAAGTGATTGTGAGTTGTGGAAGCTGAAACGCTTGCTATCTGGCCGTTGATT